GCACGAACGGCACTCAAAATGGCCTCACCAGAAGGGGGAGGCGGAGGAGGAGGAGGAGGAGGAGGAAGAGGAGGAGGAGTAGGAGGAGGAAGGAGGAAGGAGGAGGAGGGGAGGAAGAGGAGGAGGAGGAGGACGAGAAGGAGGAGGAGGACCAGGACGAGGAGGAGGAGGGAGGAGGGGGAGGAGGAGGGAGGAGGAGGAGGAGGAGGAGGAGGAGGAGGAGGAGACATGCTTGAGGCGCGCCGACTTATCCGAGGAAAGGCTGGCGCACTAACTTTACAGGAGGCGGGGCCGCTTTCCCCAGGGAGGAGGAGCAGGAGGAGGACCAGTGCAAACCCAAGACTCACCAGCGATGTTGAAATAAACTCTCCCTCCAAGCTCCCTCTTCGCAGGCCCTTAGAAGGACTCATTTCCACTGCGGACAGTACCCCATCGGGAGACAACCATTTGAAGATCCTGCAGCGTGCCAAAACACCATCCTCGAGACCCCATAGCCACGAATCAACCTAATTCGGTCGTGTTGGCGACCCTTGAATCGTGCCAGAACACCATTCTCAGGATTTCAACACCTCGGATCAACGTAACTGTTGCGCCCTGACAATCCCGAACCATCTCAGAACACCGTTTCTGGTACATTGACCGTGGGAATCCGTGAAACTCTTATGTTTTAGACGAATGCGCGCGGCGCTAAGGCGAGAGCCACATTTTGAAAAAGAACCACCATCAATCCGTGAAACTCTTGCCATGCTTGAAGTGAATGTGCGCGGCGCCCAAGCGAGAACCACTTTTTGAAAATCACCCGCCCCCCATCCGTGAATTCGTTGTACATGTTTTAAACGAAAGTGCGCGGCGCAAAGACGAGAGCCACATTTTGAAGACCACCCACCCTCAATCCTTGAAGCTCTTGCAAGTGTTTTTAACGAGTATGCGCGGTGCTCAGGCGAGAACCACAATTTGAAAACGACCCAACCTCCAGTGTGAAGCTCTTGCAAAATTGTAAGGCGAGTGTGCGCGGCGCTGAGGTGAGAGGCACATGTTGAAAACCACTCGCCCTACATCTGTGAAACTGCTGCCACTTTTAAGCTTCAGGATCATACATGGTAAGGAATTATCAAGGAAATGCCCGGTCCGTCCTTCCGATTGGCTTCGGGGTTCGACAGGGAGGAGTGATTCATAAGCAAAAGGAATGGAAGAGAGGACGAGGGGGAGGACGAGGAGGAGGAGGAGCGGGAGGAGGAGGAGGAGGAGAAGGAGGAAGGAGGACGAGGAGAAGGAGGAGGAGGAGGAGTGGGTGTGCGTGACGCATGCGGGCGGTGGCACTGGGGCCTCCAGTGGAGCTTCGTATGGGGCCACGAAACGTGTGAGGGGTGTGCCAAAATGGGTGTGCGTGACGCATGGGGCGGTGGCACTGGGGCCTTCGGTGGAGCTCCCCTATGGGGCCACGAAACGTGTGAGGGGTGTGCCGAAATAGGTGTGCGTGACGCATGCGGGCGGTGGCACTGGGGCCTCCGGTGGAGCTCCCTAAGGGGCCACGAAACGTGTGAGGGGTGTGCCGGAATGGGCGTGCGTGGCGCATGCGGGCAGTGCGCTGGGGCCTTTGGTGGAGCTCCCCTATGGGGCCACGAAACGTGTGAGGGGTGTGCCGAAATGGGTGTGCGTGCCGCATGCGGGCGGTAGCACTTGGGCCTTTGGTGGAGCTCCCATATGGGGCCACGAGACGTGTGAGGGGTGTGCCAAAGTGAGGGGGGGGACGGGAGGAGGGAGGAGAAGGGGAGGAAGGAAGGAAGGAACGCGGGGACCGTCTCTTCAAAACGAGGACCCAACACCACAAGATGGTTGGGAACAATCCTCGAAACTGCTGGGAACTCTTAAGACGAATATGCGCGGCGCTGAGGCGATAACCACTTTTTGAAAACGAACCGCCCTCCAGCCGTGAAAGTGCTGAAAAGGGTAAGGCTCAAGTGTCCTAAACGGTGAGGAAGTCTCAGGCGAAACGCCCGGCCCGCCCTACCGAAACACCTCGGGGTGCGACAGGGAGGCGTTGTGTGGAATGAAAATGATGGACTAGGAGGAGATGGAAGGGGAGGACGGGGAGGAGGAACAGCAGTAGCAGGAAGCAGAAGGAGACCTTCTGACACCGCCTGCCGAGGAGGACGCCGACTACGCGCCGACGCCGACCCTGGCCAGGCCAGTCCTGGGCCGAGGACTGGACTGGCCAGGACCTCCTCCTCCTCCTCCTCCTCCTCCTCCTTCTGCTTCTCCTCCTGCTGCTCCTCCCCCCTCCTTCCCTCCCACCCACCCTCCCTCCCACGTTCGCTCCTTGCCTCCCCCGTTCCTCTTCAATCCCCCACACTGTCTCCTCCTTCTAACTCTTCATCATCGCCTCCGCCTCCGCCTCCTCCTCATCCTTCTAGTCAGTCTCGTCATCATCATCATCATCATCATCATCATCATCATCATCATCATCAGCATCATCAACATCATCATCATCATCATCGTCATCGTCATCGTCATCGTCATCGTCGTCATCGTCATCGTCATCGTCATCATCATCAGAACGTCATCATCATCAGCAGCAGTGACATCATCAGGAGCAGCATCATCATCCTAATCAGCACCATCAGCATCATCAGCAGCAGCATCATCAGCATCCTCAGCATCATCAGCATTAGCATCAGCATCAGCATCAGCATCAGCATCAGCATCATCATCATCACCAGCATCAGCATCAGCATCAGCATCAGCATCAGCATCACCATCATCATCATCATCATCATCATCATCATCATCATCATCATCATCATCATCGTCATCGTCATCGTCATCGTCATCGTCATCATCATAAGAACGTCATCATCATCAGCAGCAGTACCATCATCAGGAGCAGTATCATCATCCTAATCAGCACCATCAGCATCATCAGCAGCAGCATCATCAGCATCATCAGCATCATCAGCATCATCAGCATTAGCATCAGCATCAGCATCAGCATCAGCATCATCATCATAATCAGCACCAACATCAGCATCAGCATCAGCATCAGCATTAGTATCATTATCATCAGCAGCAGCATCATCATCATCATCGTCAGCATCAGCATCATCATCATCATCAGCATCATCATCATGAGCATCATCATCATCATCGTCATCACCTCCTCCGTCTCCTCATCCAACCCTCTTTCTTTCTAATAATCCCTCCCAGTCGCACCGCCAGACGTGTCAGTAGAGCGGGCCGGGCGGTTCGCCTGAGGCTTCCCCACCGCTTATGATCATGAAGCTTGAATTGTATCAAGGGCGGGTCTGTTTGCAGAGTGCGGCTGTCTCCTCAGCGCCACGCCCTTGCGCCTTCAAAAGGCTCCAATAGATGCAGGGCGGGCCGTTTTCAAAACGCCACATCGGTTTGGCGCCACGCATATTCAAAACTTCCAACTGCTGCAAGGACGGAGGGCGGCCCGTTTTCAAAGTGTGACCCTCGCCGTAGCGCCGCGCACATTCGTCCTAAAGATGGCCACAGGGATGGAGGGCGGGTCCTTATCAAAAGGGCGATTCCGCCTGGGACCCCTTCAAGCATGTGCAGCCAGCAGCATGGCGTTGCGCTACGGTTACACAGACAGCGGGCGGTTCCTCTCCAAAATGCGCCTAACGCTTGAGACTTCCTCGAAACATATGATTCCTGGTCGAGGGTAGATAGGCCTCCCCCCGAATGGGATAGGTCCCAGGGTTCCACAGCACCCCCCCCCCCCACACCCTCCTCCAGATTGGATGGGGGGGAAAGAGGCTGAGACGACGACGACGACGACGACGAACACGACGACGACGACGACGACGACGACGACGACGACGACGACGACGACGACGACTACGACGACGACGACGATGACGAAGACGACGCCGACGTCGACGGAAGACGACGACGACGACGACGACGACGACGACGACGACGACGACGACGACGACGATGACGCCGCTGACGCCGACGCCGACGGATGACGACGACGGCGACGACAACGACGACGACGAACTACCCCACACTCACAGGGGGAGGGAAGGAAGGCACCCGCACCCTCCACCACGCCACGCCCACAGGGCCACGACCACAGAGGATGGAAGGGGGGCGATTCCATTCGCGAGCTTTTCGCGAAGCTCTCGGACGCACCCATCCAGCGGGAACGGGGGCCTGGTCGCATCAGCATAAGGGGGGCAGCCCTGGATCACGTGTGACCTGGATAACACGCGTGCGCATCAGCGACACGGACGGAGGGCGGCTCCGTTGTCAAAACGAAGCTCTCGTCGGAGACTTCCTCGAGCTTCCTGGCCATACATGTGCAAGCCCGCTTCAAAACGGGACTCTGGCCTAAATCTGGCAGGCTCGTGGGGGCGCTCGTCGTTCAAGGAGGTGCTCCCCGCAGCGGGAGAAAAAGGCCTGGAGGGACGTGCGGGGAAGGGATTCGGAACGAGAGGGTGTGTTGCAGCATCGTTGACGCATCCTGGGTTTACTCTGGTCCTCCTTCTCTTCCTCCTCCTGCTTCTCCTGTTCCTTCTGTTCCTACTGCTCCTCCTCCTCCTCCTCCTCCTCCTCCTCCTCCTCCTCCTCCTCCTCCTCCTCCTCCTCCTCCTCCTCCTCCTCCTCCTTTTCGTCCTTGCTCCCCCGTATCTTTCTCCCTCTCCTCCTCCCCCCCGCGCTCCCGCGCACGCGTGAGCGCATCGGGGAGGAAGGGAGGGAGGGAGGGAGGGGAGGAGGGAAGGAGGGGAGGGAGGGAGGGAGGGAGGGAGAAAAGGAGGGGACCGACGATCCTCTAGCTTCGAAGCTCCACGAAAGAGAGGACTACGACGGCGACGGCGGTGACAGGGGGCGGCCGCGGCCACGGCCTCGGCCACGGCGACGGCGGCGGCTTCGTCAGCGGCGTCAGCGACGGCAGCGGTGACGGCGAGGACGACGGCGGCTACTTACTTTGACGGCGCGGCGGCGGCGGAAACCCTGCTGGGCCCCAGCGGCGCCTCTTCCGCCTCCATCTTCCGCACCCCGGCCAGAAGAGACTCTGCGTCCGGGTGGCCCGGGTGCGCCTGCCGCGGGTCGTCGTCGTCGCCGTCGTCGTCGTCGTCGGTCAAGCGTCGTCGTCAGCGTCGTCATTGTCGTCGTCGTCGTCGTCGTCGTCAAGCGACGTCGTCGTCGTCGTCGTCGTCAAGCGTCGTCGTCAGCGCCGTCAATGTCGTTGGCGCCGTCAGCGTCGTCAGGGCTGCCAGCGTCGAGGTTCAAGGGCCAAAGATCGAAGATCGAGTGACGACGGTCAAGGACTTGGGATCGGGATCGAGGATCGAAGATCGAAGATCGGCGATCGAGTACCGAGAGTCGAAAGGGGGAGGAGGCGGAGGAGGAGGAAAGAAGAAAGAGGAGGAGAGCCACTACACTGTAGCGTGCTGGCTCGTCGACCACGACGGCTGGATACCTCGACAGCCGAACGCGGTCATAGCAACTGGCCTCCGGGCATGGAAAAGAACAAGCTGCGCCGACAGACGTTCACCAAAGAATACGGACAGAGTCAAGTGCTGACATGAACCTTTGTCAAGCACGAGCACATGGCGAACACGAGCGACAAGATTCGGTGTTGCGCGCAATGGCCTGAACACCGAGTGCGCAGTCGCAGCGACGAGCCGAGGCGGGGCAAACGTGTACACTGATAGCCCATCCACCCAGTTCGGATCGCGATGTGGCACATCACGTTCCTGGAAGGCTATCCGGGAACATGGTGGAGGGGGAGGGGCGGGGTACACTAAGCGGAATAAGAAAGATAAGTTCCTCTTTCCTGCAGCTCGGCGCGGCGGTCCGTTCTTGTCGCTATGAGAACGGCACAGGGCCCAGCACGATGGGGCGAGGGGATGCGGGATGAGATCTGGCCGTGCTCCGGAGAAACCTTTCAGGAGCACGGAGTGGGACGGGGAGGAGGAGGGCCCAAACTCCGAGTGGGAGGAGAAACTCCTGAAAACTCACCTGGCCACCTCATCACCTCATGCAGCCCCCACAAGCTCTCACCTGACGGCCCACTGGAGCGCCGCGGCAGCCGCGCGGCGGGCGGAGGCTCCGCGGGCGAGTGCAGCCGCCCGCCTCCATCTTGTGCACACAGGATTGGTTGGGGCCCATGAGGGGATCCTTCCGAATATGGTGGCGGCTCCTCCAGTCCTGGAGGTCGCTCGTCGTAGTGTCTCCGCACATGCTACGTGGCACTCCGCTGCGTTTACTCGCAGCCGTTCCTCTGACGGGAAGCCAAGGCACAGCATCGTGGGCATGGAATGCAAGGTCTGGCCCAGCCGTGAGTCTGAGGTCTTGTCATGGTAGAACACGCCATTGGTGCCACGCGAGAGCTTCCTGAACTGCTGGTCATATGCCGCCCTGTCCAATCGGAGAAGTACCCTGGCCCTGTCGTCCTCGTCCGCACAAATGAGTTTCTGCCCGTTCCATTGCGCGCCCTGTGGAAGGCATAGATCCCTTGAGGGAAACATGTTGCCTGCTCAGGGATGCGAGGCGGCCAGCGTGCTGTGATTGGTTTGCTGTATATGATTGAGCCAAGCATGCGATTTGTTCAGCCAATCTGTCGCGTTGTGGTACTCCGCTGGTCTGTGCTTGAGCTGGTACTCATGGGGCCAAATGAGGACGTACGATTGCATCCGGACTGGTGCTCCTTCCGTCACATTCCTGAGAGAAGTGCTGTCCTGGAGTGTTGGAAACTGAATGAGAAAATCCCTCATGTCCTCGTCGCACTCGCATTTCCAAAGGCGAACATGTCGCGCCGTGGCTCCTGAGACCCGCAGCGTCGTTTCCGATTGGGCTGAAGCCCAGGAAGGCCCCAACGAAGACCTGCGTTCCATCTTGGCGAACCTGGCAAGCGCATCACTGAAGGACTCCATAAGCATCGGCCTTTTCGTGGCAACGTGTACACGCTCTCCACTGGGCCCACGTTGTGCCCAAATGGCTCACCGTGCCTCATGGCGGCACCACCACAAACACACACACACACACACTTGGTGGCCTGCAGCGCCAGTCCAGCGAGGCGTCTCGCGGCGCGGAAAACCGCCGACTGTAGGCTCATAGCACTGATGCGTAACTGACGATGCCCACGTCGTCCACGCAGTCGCCAACGTAGCCGGCGTCCGGCGACGGGAAGGTCACGCAAATTGATCGCAAGACGGGGCCCATGGCCATTGCCCACGCCACTCCTGATGCCAGGCAGCCCTAGGCTACGCCGGCCAAGATACGGAGAAATCGAAGTCGTCGCCCAGCCATGCGGATCCACGTCAGCGGCTGCAAATGCAAGGCGCTGAACATCCAGACATATCCGACCACGAGACCAAACCGCCGTCGAGCACACGTGAGCCAGATCCGGGACAAGCTCGGGAAGCCGGCGGCAAAGTCGTAGCTCGTAAAGGTCGGCATCCGCTCTTCCGCCCGCGGCAGAATGCCCGAGCGCCGCTCCTCCGCATCAAGAACTACCACGTGACTGCAGAAGTTCCTGCTCTGTGAACGAAGCCCTTTGGCGACTCCTGCACCCGCTGCTGCGCCAGGCCGCGGAGCTTGAAGGCCATCGCGCTGGCGAGAGCCTGAGGAAGGTGCTCTCTAAGGCTGAAGTGAAGACCGCGCTGAGGACAGGGCGACGACCACATCCAGGACCAGATGGTTTCACCTAGGCCGCGTGGCTTCAGAACCCGCCGTCACTTCGAGCCCCAAAGAACCTGCAAACGCGCTTGTACTCGGGCGGCAACGTCCCCTTTTCACATCAACGATGCGGGTGTGGCTTGCATCCCCACGGGGGAGCTCATGGAAGACGCCATCGCGGTGCATCGCACGCCCGATGGCCTGCGCACCATCATGCTAAATAATACAAACAAAAGAGGAGGAGGAAGAGGAGGAGGAGGAGGAGGAGGAGGAGCAGGGAGCAGGATGAGGGAGCAGGAAGAGGTGCACGATGAGTAATTACTGGATGAGCAGGGAAATAATGAAGAGGGAGAGGGGACCGGGACAAGCTAGGTGCGATCGAGTCATATCTGACGTCCGACCCCTCCCTCCAATCCTTTACCATGGCGTAGATATCCTCTCTATTCGCACAGTCGGATGTCGAGCAGGGCAATGATCGCGAGAGGGTACGCGATGCATGGTAGAGCACGGCATGGCATGGCGTAGCGAAGCATTGTATCACAAAGCATTGCAACGCAAAGCATGGCATCGCACAGCGGCGCAGAACACAACACCGCACAGCATGTCACGGCATGGCGCCGGATTCCTTGGTGGGTAAGTGGATTGTCTTCGAGAAGTCTGGGCCGGTCTAGAGTCGTGGCTCCATGTCTAGCTCCTTGGGCTCCCCGAAAAGCTCCACACAAGACGGGGCTGATGGAGAGCACACGCTGACTCTGCTTTCAACATCGCCTTCTCAAAGTAGAAACGGAGCTCCCGCTTGATACTTCCTGAAGACGACGACACCCCAAAGTGGGGGGGGAGAGGGGACTTCTGCGGCCCAAAAAATCAACGAATCGACACCGAATGTGCAATCACTTCCGATGGTTTCTTCGGGGGGCCATTTTCTAGACTTTGGGGCCTACTTGGAAGAACCGACAACGCCCGCGCTGCAGCGGGAGCACGATTTAGAACAACCAGAGGCGCAGAAATGGAGCCAGCGCTTCAACGGGAGCAACATTTTTAAGACAAACAAAAAAACGAAAACCCAACTTCCGGGAATATGTGTATAAAAACAGTGCGCGGAGGGGGTCCAGGCATCTTCTGGACGTCATCAGGGGAGAGAGAAGAGTAGTATTCATATTGTGTAGCTGTGGAGGGGGGAAGAGGAGGACAACGACCACCAGCGAGACCGGCCCTTCCGAGGGCCACGACGTTGTTGGTGGCATCGGCCTGCCAAGGCCCCAGATCCCCATCGAGCCTGTGCCAAGGGTTGGTGAGGGGGGGGGTATCTGCGTGAGGGTCAGGCGCGAGAACATCTTGGAGCCTCCGATCTGGGAGCTCCCCTGCTCCCACGACTCGCTGGCTGGGTGGCCGAGCGGTGTGACGTACCCGAGGGGCCAGGGGATGCACAGTTTTCCCCGCGGTGACCGTCAGCGAGCAGGAGGGTAAACCCTGTACAGACTTTAGCATGGCTGTTTTTTCCCCGCCCCCCCCCCACGGGGCCGCCTCGCAGGAACTGCGATCGAGGTCCGCCTACCGGGGAGGCGCCGTCTTGGAAGCCATTCGAAAGTAATGCCACACGGGTGCGGCAACAAGTGGACACAACGCCGGCGGGTGCAGCGTGATGGGTCCACACGGTGAAACTCTCCAACCTGCGAGACGGTGATTCCCGTCCGTCGGCGGCACTGGTAGCTTCCACACCCGCGCAGCCTTTTGCACGCGGGTGGTCGGCGGCGCCTCATGCGGGCGTCGCTCATGGAAGTGATACTAGAAGAACCAAAAACTTGGAGGTCCGCGCCGAAAGCTTATGCTTACGGCGATTTCTCTTCTTCGAGATACAGCGCTGCCGCGAGGCCAACCCCAGCGCTCACCACAGCTCACCGCCTGGCACCCAGGCCCAGCGCTGCGCCGAGGACGACCAGCGGGCCCGGACCGCTCGCGCAGGGCGCCGCGGACGTGGGCTCCGAGGTGGCTGGGGCCGGGCTGTCGGTCGTCTCCAGGCGCCGCTCCTCCGCGAGGGTGGTGGTGCCGTCCAGGGCCGTGCAGCCGCTGCCGGAGAGCAGGAGCGCGAGGAGCGCCAGGATCAGCGGACCCGGGCCGCCCGTGCGGGGCGCCGCCGACAGGGGCTCCGAGGTGGACGGCTCCGGGCTCTCGGTGGTCTCCAGGCGCCGCTCCTCCGCGACGGTGGTCGTGTCCTCGATGGCTGCGCAGCACTGGCTGGCGAGCAGGAGGGCGACGACTGCGAAGGCCAGGCGGGCCATCTCCTGCAACGGCGGGGCGCGACTGCGGCGGCAGGGCAGCGCTGTGCCAACTGGTGCAGGCTTGGAGCAGAAGGCCTGAGCCCAAATGGCTGTGGATACAGCCTTTAGAATGGCTGAGGCTTTAGTCGGCGGCGAGC